CGTGACCCCTGATTGTCAACCATCAGGCTACAGGAAGAGCTGCTAGGACCCAGCAATTAAGAAAAACAAAAGTGAAGCTATTGATTTGGTCAGAGAGCCCCAGCCAGCCTGTACCCTCTCCATCTCCACGATGTAGGCGTCGATGAAGTCTCGCAGGTTGTCCCTGTCCAGGGTGTCACGGTGCTGCTTCACAGCCTCCCCCACGAACTCCAGCACCTCCCTGGCGTTCTGCTGGATCTTCTGATGGGGTCCGGGAAAGTGCTTGATGAAGGGAGCCACGTTGAAGAGCTGGGACACAGAAACGGCTCCGGTCAGAATCCACCCATCAGAAAACCACTAAGAACCAAATCCATGCACTGTCCATGAGCATGACAGCATGGGACATACGGCGGCACCAGCGTCATGTTGGTTCAGCAACCTTGTCAAACCTTTCTGACTCAGGTAGTTCACACACTGACTCAAGCAAAACTTTTACTTGCTCCATTTCTGACTTAAACTTCCAGGCTACATGCATAGTGACTGCAATGCACATGGGCTGCCACTAGAGGCCGCCTCAAGCAACGCATTTGCACACGGCGCTCAGCTGGTGAATACAGAAGACCCATGAAGACTCAGCAGTGCGAGTGGATTTCCGCTCAGGTTTGCTTTGTATTAAAGGATGTGTCGCAGAGAGAGAGGGAGACGACTGGGGAGAGCGCTACAGGAACATCTGAGTAGACTTTCTGGTTTATTCAACAAAGCGTGAATAAGATCTGAACCTTTTATTTATACCAGCGTTGAAGTGTAGTTGTCTTGTGTAAAGATTCTAACCCAAGACTGGAATCTTACACAAATATCATATGTGATTATGACATGATTCAAAACCTCATTTTGGTTATACAGACAGAAAAATACACGAAACAGACAACTTGATTTATGCAGTAGCTGTAGGTGTATGACAACTAGAAACCACACCGCAGTGTAGGGTCCTGTGATTATGGACAGGTAACTACTGTGTACTGTACCTGGGCTATGGGTGATCCCGTCAGGTAGGCGTTGTTATTCATGATGCGCAGCAAACGCACAAACGCCTCGTCGCTGTAATCGAAGCGGTTGCCAAACACAATGGAGCAGATGATGTTGGAGGCCGCGTTGTGGAAGAGGAACTGGGGATTGTAAGGCTGTCCTGAGAAGATACGACAGGCTCTGGAAGGGTCTCGAAACTCCGCTTTGATTAGCGTCTCCTATTCCCTTCTTATTCTTTGCCAGCTTTGGCTGAAAGCATTGGTTAGGACCAGCTCATCCCTAACCACTGCCCCATCGTACTGAGCTCTATACCAGCTGGTCAGATTTACTCAGTCCCTCACAACATCCTGCCCTGAAGGTCCCTGGGCTCTGTTCTCCATCCTCCCAGACTGCACCCCATTCTCACGGGTCTCCCCATCCTCCCAGACTGCACCCCGTTCTCTCAGTCTCCCCATCCTCCCAAACTGTACCCCTTTCCCTGTGTCTCCCCATCCTCCCAGACTGCACCCCATTCCCTGGGTCTCCCCATCCTCCCAGACTGCACCCCGTCCCCTGTGTCTCCTCATCCTCCCAGGCTGCACCCCGTTCCCTGTGTCTCCCCTACCTCCCAGACTGCACCCCATTCTCTCAGTCTCCCCATCCTCCCAGACTGCACCCCGTTCCCTGTGTCTCCCCTTCCTCCCAGACTGCACCCTGTTCCCTGTGTCTCCCCATCCTCCCAGACTGCACCCCGTTCCCTCAGACCCTGGGCCATGTCCTTCCCTCAGGTCTATACCCACCTCCTCTGCTTTCCACATGAGCCCCCCTGTGCCGACAGCCTACCTCCTTGCTCCTCGAGCTCCTGGATGAGGCACTTGGCTTCTTCTGCAATCCGCTCCTCCAGGGACCTCTTGCCCAGACCGAAGTTGCGCAGCGTGACGAGGGAGAACCTCCTCTGCTGCTTCCAGGAGTCCCCATAGGGAGCCATGAGGATGCCTTGGGTGGAGAAAGGGAACCTGTTTGCCAACACTCTTGTGCAATTTAGACTGACGACCTCTCATTTCACCAGTTGTAACTAATCGCATTGCACTGGAATTCCAGAATCACTCTGGTAAGAATTCTGTACTGGTAAGAATTGTGTACCAGTCTGTACTGGGTTGGAACTGGAGAGTTGACTTTTGCATGAGATGATGGGTGGTATTTCTTCCTGGAGAAGAGCCTGAGCAATCGGAAAATCTCAAGATGAGTCAGAGATCTGGAGATGCCTGGGGAGCAGACCTAAGAGGGATGCAGTTTGGGAAATATGGGTCTTCTTCTTAACCTTTAAACACACCAGCCGGGCCATTTTCAACTTGCTCATACGTACGTAATACTGCATTGCACAGACGGGTCCGGATTGCTCCTGACCGTCTCCATCACAGATGTGACTTTATTTACCCCTC